TAAAATAAGAAAGGCAATATTTTAAAAGTAAGACACATAGAGTAAGTTACTGTAGAAATAAGAAATTATTTCTTATTTATATTTAAGAATTAATTATATAACTTTCAGTGCTTGTCTAAAATGACAAACTTCTCAAAAATATCACATGTCAACACGTGGTCATGTGCTAAAGGGCAACCAGATTTTTTTCATGGGCCATTAGCACTAATGCTGTCTTCTTCTTTTTTTTACCAGGGGCAACTGGATTGGAGAAGCACCATATAAAGTAGGGGTACCATGTTCTGCCTGCCCTCCAAGTTATGGGGGCTCTTGTACTGACAATCTTTGTTTTCCAGGAGTCACGTCAAACTACCTATACTGGTTTAAATAAGCTTATCTTTTCCTCCAGGAAATATAATGGTTTCTGGAAATCATAGGCATATATATATATTGAGTTTTGCACATATTATACATATTTTACGATAATCTTGTTTTCCTTTTATTATTCATTGTATAAATAAGTGTTTGTCTAGTGTGTTTACTCCTTTGTGGTAATCAAAACACCCATTTCTATTTTCTGACTTTTAAACCTAAATTAAAATATTGTGTATGTATTATTGACATAGTTGATGCATCCAATTCCAAAACTCGTTTTCCAAAGAAATTATGTTCGTAAGGAAGAGAATATATATTTGGCCTGTAACGCACATGTGTGTGTATATACACACACATAGATGACATAATACATAGATAATACGATTCTGTAGCAAACTCAAGGGTAATTTTTTTAAAAATCCTATTCTAAAATATATGTGAGGTGGTGGAACATCTTCAGCACCCATTTCTATAATAATCAAAAAGTGATCATTTGCAAAATAACAGTGATAACTGGGTATGATAATTTAAGCAAATGCAGATCTCATTCTTGGGATATTTTATCTTATTTAGGTTCACCAAAGGATATGCTTGACTTACGTAAGGCTCAAATCATGCCTTTTGCTTAATCTCTTTTACTGAGTCAGTAATCATGGGCAAGGCACTCTGCTAGTTATGTGCTGATAATGCGAAGGTAAGAAGATAGGATTCCTGCCTTCAAGAAGCTCGTGAAAATATTCAGGAAATAATAACAGCCTAATTATTTTGCTGTAAAATTATTATTTTTTAACAAAGTTATTTTTCATGCAGCTTGGAGGAAGTGAGTGCAACAGTGTTCACGTTAGGTGGTGTAGGTGATAAGCCACACTGTGTACGTGAGGCTTCTGATTAGCATGAATGTGTAGCGACAGTGCTTGGAATTAGAAGAGGCAGGGAAGGATTCATCACTGCCCATGGATTATTGGGTAAGAGTAAATAGTTACGATTTTGGAAGGCAGAGAGCAAGACCTAAAACTGATGAGGCCCAAGAAAAGTGAGATTTAAGAGACAAGTATGAAAAGGCACAGAAATAGGGTTAATGCGCGCGCGCACACACACACACACACACACACACACACACACACAAATGGAGTGCTTCAGAAGGGCATATCCTGAAGGTCTAATACACCTTTAGGCCAGTTAGCAGGAGGTGAGGGATGCTGGAAAGAAACCTTGGAGGTGCCAAGGACACCTCCAGCTGTCCATTGTTTCCCTGTCCTTTATTGGTGAGAATCAATGTAATCATCCTGGCCTTGAGCATCACGTTAAAGATCTCATGTGCACACCACAGACAGTTAAGGTTTTGTTAAAGGGGTCCTCCTCAGATGATTTTCTAAGGACTAATTGTCAAACTTTATTCCCCTGTGTAAGCAGAAGAATAATTTTCAGTTCTCCATTAAGTTTGGTGGAAATCAAATCAAAATCACTATGAAAATTTCTCTCATGCGATTTTGGAAAAGCTTATTTCCAAATCAGGGAATCACTTTCCAGAGAGGAGAACTCAACATCTGGGTCAAGACACTTAACACATTACATTTCGCGCTTGTGTGTGTGTGTGTGTGTGTGTGTGTGTGTGTGTGTGTGAGATGCAGGTTATGTAATGCTTCAATAGAATTATAGAAATAAGTAAACATGGTTAGTTCCAGAGTACAAATAGCAGAAGGAAGCTACTTGTTTAAAATTCTCTACACATTTGCGATTTCTTGGGGTAGCTGCATTGAAAGATGACAGTTAATCGAATCCAGCGGGGAAGACATGTACCATCTGGAGTTTAGGTTTACATGATGACAAACAATTGGCCTGATTCCTTTCACAAACTGAATCTGACCAAATGTTTTCAAATCATACTGCTTTGCTTTTGTGGGAACTTACATGGGCTTTATTAAAAATAAATATTTCTGGGGACTAAAATGGAGAACAGAAATGATTCTCAGAGTCAGGACCCAATCCAATCGTTAGCTAACATATATCGGCAACTGGAGAGAAAACTCATCAGCGAGATAATTCATTTGATTTTTCTAGAAAGTGTTTCCATCCTTGATTTTGCTAAACCAGTTCTAGAGAAGTAGAAAAAGCACTTTTAAACCAAAACAGGCTACGATCAGTTCCAGTTCTGTTGCTGGTTTACTTGTGTGGCTTGGTTTCTTAGTTCTCAAAAAGAATAATGCTATTTGCCACATGTTTCACAGAGGTTCATGTGAACTTAAAATTACCAGATTAACAGAAATTTATGAATATTAAAATTATCACTAATGTTGTGAAACTTTTATTTGAGATAAAATTAAGTCTTTCATGAGCTCCTCTTTGGCAGAAATTCTGTCTTATCTTTGTATTTATCCCAGCTTCTAATATAGTGGTGGTAATGTAATAAATGTTCATCTGTATGGATTTTTAGAATTAACTAAAAAGTCTAGAATTGCAAGAATTTAGAAGAATCCCACCTTTCCATGTTTTTTAAGACAAACATGTCTTAAATACAAAGCTTTGAATGCATCAACGATTAAGATAAATCATCAAACATATCATGTTAAGACTAGGGTCTACACACTCATAACTTGCACTCAACAGTCCTTTCCAAATCACAACGAGAACTGTAAGTTTATTTATAACGTAGCAACTCAGCTGAAAATATAACGGGTATATTTGTTATTCTGTCTGTACTTTTTAAAGTTAGTAATACAAAGTGGCCATGTGAAATGTTTCATTTTCCAGGCTAAGGCAAACGGAAGTTTGCTAGGATCAACACAGCATGTCACATCTTTTCACAGCATGAAACCGTGGTGCTAGGAGAGCTATTTCTCACTGTAACCCCCACAGTCAGAAAGGGTCCAGGTATAAGCTATTTCCTAAGAGCAGCTTAAATAGTCAGTACTGAGGTTTCCATTTCAAAAGTTTCACTCAAGAGAAACAGTAACTGGCATATATATTCAGTGGCATTGATTCTCTTTATGGTAAGATTTTTCATATCATCCTTTATTCAGTAGAAAAGTTTTTTTTTAAATTCTGTCACAATATAGACTTTGAGGAGGGCTTCCATGTCATCAAAAGACTGGGAAAGTGATAATTTTAGCTGTTAAGCGGATGGATTTCTTTACAGAATTGTATTTGAGTTGTGTAGGCAGAGTCTTAATGTTCCTGGTTATGACAGATAAGCTTGCTTTGAAAATGTGTCAGAAACAGTTTTTATTATTATTATTATTTTTATTTTCTGTTTAGTAGTCTAAGCTGTGTCACTTCTGTGGTCCATCAGAGCACCCCTATGAGATTCAGCTGGCAGCGCTATAATATGTATTTGAAACTTCATAGAGGCATTCATTTGAAAGCTCCATGCAACTTTAGCACAGAGTTGACCAAACACTAGGGAAAGTTCAACCAATACAATTCACTCAGAATTTCTTAATTGAAACAATGCATATTTGTCTCATTAACACATGCTTGTGTTAGATCAACGTATAACATCTACATAAACAAATCTAAAACATGTTTAGGCCAGTTTAAGTGTTTTGTATTCATATCCTGCTTATTAAATGAATGCATCAGCTAATCAGGTAATTTGAAGGTGTCCAGAAAAGTCATCCTTAAATTGTGGTCCGGGTTCTCCCTCTTGTGTAACAGCATTCCCTCTGTTCGGCAGTGTCATGGGACACAGATCTTGACATGAATGGAAGCCTTTACCTATGAAAGTGTTTAGAGAGAGTAAAGTTATATTTCTATCAACATCTAATGTTATCTTTGTTTTTATATATATTTTTGTATTGTCATTATATGTGTGAGGGAAGACATTTAAACACATGCAAAATGATTTTTAAAAATTATGTCATGGTCTAATTTTGACTTAAGAGATGTCAGTGAGAAACTTAGACAGTTTAACAATTCACCGGTTAATGGTGCTGAAAATGCATAACAAACACCTTATACGTGCTACAATTTTGAAGTTTCTTTGCAATTAAAGTTTTTATTAAGTGTGAACTATCAGTATCTATTCTGGTGCTAAATATGTGGTGCTAAATGAACTGTTGGTGTTTGTAGCTTAGGAACTCTCTTTTAGTCATTGTTAAAAAATGTTATGCATTCAATTCTTGATTTAAAAATATGAAGTCCTGTTAAATTAATCTTAACCAAAAATAGGCCAGTAAACTCTATTTTTTATCTAATAGTCCAAATTTATTTGGGTATTACAGAATGTAAATGTATTTCTTAGAAGTTATCAATTTTTTAAAGGCATTTTTAGCTTGGCAATGTCAAATTCAAGTGTCACCTAAAGGTTAGAGAACACCCACATCAACCATGCTGCAGGCACTGGTGCCCTCTGGTGGTTATAAAAACAAATTAATAAATTCTTGATGGCTACTTGGCCTGCAACCAAGCTATTTCTGCCATTCAATAAAAATTTAATTTGCACAATATCAGAACCCTTGGATACTCTTTAAATCTGACAACATTAAAAAAATTCATGACTCTATTGACATAATTTTCTAAGAGTGTAAGAAAGATAATATATCTTGACATCCACTTTCCTAAATAATAATTTTTTTATGATATTCCAGTTCTAAGGTGCTTATTAAAATGTTCTTTTTTTGAACCAGGTTATTAATGAAACATATTTTCATTTTGTTTACATCATAAATACAGTAAGAATTAAAATTAGCAAACAATTTTCTAAGTGTGTCTCACTTTCAGAAGTGATAATTTATTTTTATGTTTTAAAGTAATTAATTCCATATATTGGAGGATTATCTCTCCACTTTTACTTGTTGATCTACAATTTGATAATGCTCTTTGGTCATACAGTTGAGCTAATAACATTTTATTATTCCATTCAAAGTCTTTCTAGACTAAAAAACATACATAAAAACTTGGAATTATACCCCTGTAACTAATGAAGGCAATGTTTTTAGGTAAACTTTCACTTGAGTTGTGCAGTTGACTAAGTGTGATAGTCTGCTTTGACAAAGATATTTCTTAAGCTATGTTAACACAGCCAAATGAAATATGCTTTGAAGCAGTTTTCCAAATTATTATTTTCAAACTTACTTTAAAGCAATAGAACGTTTTGTATGATCTCAATCATATACACAGCTCTAACATATAATACACATAAAATGGACCTGCTTATTCCCCAAATCTTCCTCAGTGCCTTGGAATTTCTTCTGAGAGCCCTAGGATTCCATCAAACCATTAGAAAAACTGCTCTAAATCATCTAGCTCTCCCCATTTTCTATAAAATAATCAGCTTATTAAAGACAAAAAAATTGAGACTCTAAACATATTTCAATGGTTATCTTATATACCCACTTCACTTGGCATGTGTTAGAAGCCTCTTAGTTTGATGGAGCATTAGATACATACTGACTTTAACTGGTGCTTGGTTATATATTACAGTATCTTGTGTTTTGTTATTTGACAAACAATTTTAGTACCAAACTATTTTGAGAATTAGATAATTGTCATGTACCCATGAAAATAATGTGTTTAAAAATATCTGAATGTTTCAAATATGTACATAATCCTAAAATGTATTGTATCGTTTTAGATTTTTTTAAAAAGGTTAATTTGATTTTTTATTCATTACCTAATACTGTGGCAGTAAAAGGTGCCTTTGTTGTGATATATTGTCATGAATGTGTACATACATAAAACCTGTGTAAACCTCTGTCTTTATAAAGCATAACAAGTGTAGCTTTTTGAGCTCTGCTATATTGTTTTTTCTTTCAATAAAACATTATAAATAATTGTTCTGCTTTTAAGGTTTAATTAAAACAAGTAATCTAATTGTTTTCTTGTTTTCAAGTTTTACAATAGAATCAGAACTAGATGGCATGATAGTTTGATAAGAAATGAACTGTTCTAAGGCAGCAATGATTATATCTTTAATGCATCACTGAAATACATCAAATCTTCGTCTTCCTTTTTTCCCTTTCTTTCTTCACTTATCTGCCTCCTTCCTTCCGTCTTCCATTCTTTTTCTATTTAATTCCAAAAACTATTTTGAAGTACCAGTATAAAAGACATTTCCATGGAAAAAGAGGAAAAGAACAGTATATCAAGATGCTCTGGCTGGGAAATTGCAGCCGTTGAACATAAATATGTTTATGCTTCCTTATACTGAGGGCATGAAGAGGAACCCTAGGCATTCCTGGGGGAGAGGCAGCATCTCCAGTTACTGGACGACCTAAGGCTAGGAGTTAACAGGGCGGCTCTGCCTTGCAGACGGTAACTCCTTGCTCTCTGGTGAGATGGTAGGTCTCCCGGGCCAGTTCACTGAGAAGCACTCAGACCTAGGACATTTTAAAATTTCTCCTTAGGGTATTTCATGCAAGACAAGAAAGCCTCTCCGCCTAGAACTCTGTAGCGCTCTCAGTTCCTCACTCTCTTGCTCCTCTTCCCTTTTCATTTTGCTTCCTCCTCTTTTATGCCTCCAGTTTCTCATCCATATGTCTGGGAAGTTGCATTCATCTCTCAGGAGATGGGAATCCATTCATTGACGTGTGTGTGCGCGTGCGCGTGTGCGTGTGTTTTGCATATTCTAGCCCCTCAGACTAGGCCTGGTGGAAGCAAAAGAAGTCTTGTGCCCTAAGTCTTGCACAGTGCTGACGGTGAAGAAATGGGACTATGGTGGGTGTCTGATCCCATCCGGTCTTCCTCAACACTAAGAGTTGTGGCTGACCACCTCATGAGAACAAGCACACCCTGACAAGGCAAGCATCAGCTTTCCCAGATCCAGCTGACTATGCTCTTGGGAGTGACGCCTATTCCCACTGTCAGTGACTCATCCAGCTCCTTCTGAGACAGTAACCTTGGCATTGTGGTGCCAGGGGCACAGACTTCTTCCTGAGCTGTGCTTGCACTGCTGAGCCAACACTGCAGGAGTGACTGGCTCTGTCTTAGCAAACTGGAGAGGTGCAACCAGCCTAGCTGAATCTCTCTGGCCCCAACTGTCTCTCTTGATGAAAAAGGAGTGAGGTCTTGGCATGTTACTTTTATTGATAGCCTACTGATTGAAGTCAATGTGCCCATTGATCAAGGGGCACATGAGTTTTACTAAACCTGAATGCATACAGGGATTTGTCCTCTGAGTTTCTACATAATAAATTGAATGATGTCCTTAATTATCATTTTTCTAACATTAAAAAGTCAATTGCAAAAAATTAAATGGTATGCGAAAAATTCTACAAGCCTTAGAATCTGCCATATTCTCCAAAAGGCAAAATGTTTCCATAACACTTAAACATAATAAAATATTTTTTAAAGATTTTAATTTAAATATGCATTTGCTTATTTAAATATTTTATTTATTTCTATTTCATAATGCACACAATATATTACTGCCTGGCATAATGTCTAGTACATATTAGCATGTCGTATATTTATATTGTATATAGTGAGGGTACAAGATTCAGAACTTTCTACAAATAAGGATTCACAACCAAAAAGTTTGGAGGCTGGTAGCTTCCAAGCATGTGTCTCTTTTTCTACTTCTGCTCTCTGATGGTCCACTACCACACAGCATCTGGATTGATCTTATTTTTTGTTTTGTTTTATTTTTGTTTGTTTTTTAAATTGAAGTATAGTCGATTTACAGTGTTGTGTTAAGTTTCTGGTGAACAGCATTGTGATTCAGTTATACGTGTGTGTGTATATATATATATTTCTTTTCATATTTTTTTTCACTATAGCCCATTACAAGGTATTGAATATAGTTCCCTGTGCTACACAGGACACTTCTGTTTATCTATTTTATGTATAGTAGTTAGTGTCTGGAAATCCCCAACTCCCAGTTTATCCCTCTCCACCCCACCTTTCCCCACTGATAACTGTAAGTTTGTTTTCTATGTCTGTGAGTCTATCTCTGTTTTGTAAATAAGTTCATTTGTGTCTTTTTTTTATTTTAAGATTCCACATATAAGTGATACGATATTTTTCTTTCTCTTTCTGGCTTATTTCACTTAGTATGATGATCTCTAGGTCCATTCATGTTGCTGCAAATGGCATTACTTTATTCTTTTTCATGGCCAAGTAGTATTCCATTATATCTGTATCTATATCTATGTCTCCCACAACTTCTTTATCCATTCATCTGTTATTGGACATTTAAGTTGCTTCCATGTCTTGGCTATTGTAAATAGTGCTGCTATGAACACTGGGGTGCATGTATCTCTTCAAACTAGAGTTTCCTCTGGATATATGCCCAGGAGTGGGACTGCTGAATCGTAGGGTAAGTCTATTTTTCAGTTTTTTTTTTTTTAAGGAACCTCCATACTGTTTTCCATAATGGCTACACTAAACTACATCTGGATTGTCTTTTTGAAAGTAAAGCACACTTATGACTTTTCTGCACAAAACCTTCCAATGACATTCTCGTGTGTTTAATAAAATCCAGTGCTTTAGCACTACTTATAACACTCTACTGGACTAACTTCTGCCTGATTCTCTGACATCCTTCTCTCCTACTCTCCCTGCAGCTCACTCTGCACCAACCACCTTTGCTTTCCTTTTGCCAAGGTCACCCCCACCCTGGACTTTTTCACTTGTTCTTCCCTCTGATTGAGTCCTAAGTACAGTAACATTTTAGCAAAGATAGGAAAGATTTGAGGGAGATAACCATGTGGAATCTATACCTAGGCATATATCCTGTGGACCTCTGGGGAAGAAGCTTCCAGGCAGGAAAGAAGGGAGGGCAAAGGCCTGCTGCATCCACAGACTTGCAGCAGAGTAAGGAAACAAAACTGTTGGAATGAGGCCAGGGAGGTCACAGAAGCCCAGGCTGTATGGGGCAGACCATTGTCAGGGCTTTGGCTTTTACGCTGAATGAAATGGGAAGCCACTGAGAATTCTGAGCAGAAAAGTGCCATGATCTGACACATTCAGAAGGGTCTCTCTGGCCACTATGTTCAAATAGGCTATAGAGCATCGGGGGGGGCCACCTTCATTGAGCTCCTGTCCCATCAATCATCCTTCTTGTATCTTCACTCTTCTTCCAAGCCCAGCATAACACAACAAACAGCCACTGTCTTACCTCTTTCTAGCCCCTCACTACTCAGATTCACGACGTGCCATCTCTGTTGACTGATTTCAGATCCTGGCTACCCACTTATTCCTCGGTGCCCTTCAATTCATGTGTTCCACAAGAATTTATCAAGCACTTTCCACATGTCAGGTACTAAGCAAGATAAAAATCAGACCAAGCACCTGCCCACCAGAAGCTTACATTGCAGTGACAAAGAAGAAAGTAAAGAAACCAATAAATACATAATGAAAAGCCCAGTGGAGGTAACTGTTATGAAGAAAAAGGAACAGGGAAAGGAGAGAGGAGGAAGATGGCTTCAGATGATGGTGAAGCATCTCACTGGGGGGCGAAATGTGGGCAAATATCTTCATGATGTTTGTTCTTCATCAGACGGATCTACTTTGGGAAGATTTCTGTGATCCAGTTACTGAAAATGGCTCGCATTTACTTTCTTCAGTCTTTCTGTTGCATCCAAGACAGTCATTCATTCCCTTTTATCACACTCTTCTCCTCGGGCTCTGTACTCTCCTTGGTCCTTACTATTTCTGGGATTTTGAGTGGTTCAACTGAGAAATAATGAGGTTCTTAACTATGGTTATAAAGTTGGATTTATTACTAAATTACTCTTTCTGACGCTAACCCTGACATGTAACTCCCCTGTTCATAAAACTTTCCTTTGCTTCTGGCCTCCTATAGAAACACAAACAGCCTTTCCTCACATTTAACTTCCCCTATGCTAAGAAGAAGACTTATATTCATAGTTTTACCCTGCTAAGCTTCACACACCTCTTCTACAGATGATCAAAACTTTGTGACATCACTGGTACCCTAACCTACACTTTCCAACATCTGTCTGGTCTTAAGTGATTTACATCATCTGGATGTGTATGTGTGTGTGTATGTGTCAGTCCTCCGTAATACAAACCCTTCTCACATGGCTTTAATTTTATGCTTTGGAGATTTTTGTTTTTCCCTCACTAAAACCTTGTTCTCTCTCCTTTGAAAACCAGTAACACTGAATTATATCTCTACTTACTTCCTACCCTCCATTATTGCATATTCATAAACGTTCTGAAATATTTTTTATTTTACTGCAAGGTCTGTGCTAGGGTCATCTTTATATTCACTAATGAAATAGTCAATGCTTTTATGCAAGACTGTGGTCAAGCTGCCACAGTATTTCTGCTACAGTCACGTATCCACAGGTACACAAGTGACCAACAGATGCCACTCTTGTAACTATCTGTAGAAGGATACTTCTGTTGAAAACTTACTGGAACTTAGAAGAATTATATCATAGGAACATCTAATGCTTCTTTTGCATTATTGATATTAAATATAGAAGCAATAGTCAATGCATGTTAACAAAAATCTATGCAGAGACTATGTGAAGGATTTTATGCTTCCCAATCTTTGACAAAGTAATGCAATTCATCCTTCAGGTGGACAAGCAAGTGGGTGGTGATTTACTTGAAGATATTTCAGAATAAAGTTGAGGAGAAACACCAAGTAAGACTTTGAGTAATTAACACTGAGTCATAAATATTAAAAAAGTGCTCAGTGCTATACTTTATGTTTAATTAAAAGTATTTTCAAAGCCCAATTGACTATAAGTAACTTCTACTTAATAAAAATTCAGAAACCAATTACAATGTAAGAGTTGATACCCTTAGGTAAATTTAATGATTTTTGATAAAATATACTTTATAATATAAATAATTCATTCT